AAAAAAAATGAATTTCAAGTTTTGGAAATAGCTCATCTTGTAACGTATTTTTGGACAGTCAATTTTCAAGATTTTCAAGTTTTTATAGATCTGCTCCATCTACATTATTTTTTTAGCTTTAAATTTTATAATTAAATATGAAAATATGTTTTAAGGCTATCACAAATATTTCTAGTATTAAAACCACAATTCTCGATACTATTTGAATGTGCACTCCTACTTTGATTGTTTATAGCCTCGGCTCTATACAAACTGCACCCTTGTTTGAATAACTGTTACAAATAGATGAAGAAATCATTTTTAATGAATCATCACATAGTATTGTCGCTATTACAATGATGGATAATTGAATCATAAGTAGATTCTCCGATGATGATAATAATGGTTATTTTCATGTGCATAATTAGATCCATAAGATTTTTTGAGTACAGTATTACGATACTCGACTCTTAACCAATCAAGCTCTAATATTTCAATCGACCTCAACATTACATATTAATATAAGTAAACTTTATAATCATGACTTGCGAGTAACTTTCGCTTGTTTTCCTTTTCTTGTTTGGTTGAATATGTTCCATACGCCGCCCCCAAACGTTTGGCTTCCTACACAATAATCCTAGTTGAGGTTTTGCCCAAGAGAGCAACTTACAATTTGCTTTCGTTTGTTAGTTGAATTGTGAATTTTAAAATATGATACGGTTTTTATGCGGGCATGCACAGGTAAGCTTATGTGGTTAAGATCGTGATTATATTACGTTGTGATTTTTGTTCCCACTGACATCAATCTTATTAACGTAATAAAAAAAAACTACTTTCTAAAATATTTGAAAAAAAACATTGGGTTTTTTTTCTCCACTGAATTACCCAAAAAGTATTGAAGTACTTAATGGGACAGTTGGGGTTTCCTAGTCTGCCCACTCCGCTCTTTGCCAAATGTCAACATCGGACGGTAAGGGAGATTCTTCAAAAAGCTCTCTGGTGAGGAAGGTTGCACAACATCAATGCACAGATGGAACGGTTAGGAAGGGACTTAAAACTGTGAGAAACTAAGATGCTAGCATAGTACACAAACCTATTTAAATAAATCTCACTTATGGAAGTCCCTCTTAACGCAATTGAAATTTATCGGCAGCCGACAACCGGCAAATACAATTGCTTTAAAAGAGAGAAATAAAAAAATTGAAAAAAAAATCAGCAAAAAGAAGTACGAATATGGCGAGTCGAGACCTCATCACACACTATCAAGAATTAATAAGAGACATTAAAGAGAAAAAGGTCTTTGTTGGAATGAAAAAAGGTGTGGTTATTTTTGATGGAATGAAAAAAAGTTTATTGTAGATAATGAAAAAAGGGGTGGTTATTTTTGATGGAATGAAAAAAGTTTATTGTAGATAATGAAAAAAGGTGTGGTTATTTTTTGATAGAATGAAAAAAAGTTTGTTGTAGAGAGAGCTTTTTCTCTCTATTGTCTCTTATATACTCGTGATGGTGCATGAGGAGGTCTCGACTCCCTGCATTTGTAATTCCTTGTGTTGATTTTTTCTCAGTTTTTTTTATTTTTTTCTCTAAAACGCAGTGGATTTGCCGGCTGTTAAGGATTGATTGCTCAATTTGATGAGGGACCTCATGGGAATCAACTTTCTATTATAAGGTATTTGCTGTGCGGTGATCTTTCATTTTCAATGCAGGTTCAAACTCCACCACAATAAATAAAAGAGCAATTTTCTGCTCATATTCACTGCATAAATCATCAAAGCTTCATATTTATTTCCAGACTCTAGTCCAAAGATGTACAAGTAATCCTTGAATTACTAGTATGATGGGGCCCCACTATTCCTCCCTCTCTCTCTCTCTCTCTGTCAACACCATGCCTCTCTCTCTCAATACAAGTGGCTATCTCTCTCTTTCTACCCGTCTATCCCATTTAAAAGGTTGGATTTCAACCCTTCAAGAGGCCTTCACATTGTGATTATTGAGACCTTTATAGAGGTGGCAACGGGTCGGGTCGTGTTTGGGTCCAGCCGTACCAAAAAAAATGATATGGAACGCATACCCGAATAGTGTTTGGGTCCAAGATTTGGACTCGGATTCGGATTCGACCTGCAGGGTTCAATTTTTACACCCATTACTGGACCCTGATGGGGTCTACCCCTCCGGTCCCAAGCCAAGTCGCGGTCCATTGCCACCTCTAGACCTTTAAGGCCCCCCAAGGAATGAATCCAATGTCAGGCAGTTGCACACACACAGTATACAACAATAGTAGCCAATAGTTTATTTCAACTTGCAAAGGTAGATGCGATTTGTTCGTTTTGTAAATTCCCACCAATTGCATTTGGGGCCCAAGTGGACCTCAACTTTGATGCCCCAAAACTATGCCCATTCACTTGGTGGGCCTCTTAAACAATTTCAGCATGAATCAAGGATCGGGATGCCGCTGCTTATAGGACTTCTATACACTATAAGATTCAATCCCAACCACTAGTAAACATTCCACTAGCAATTGCTTATGAAAATCTCATCTCGCACGGCTCAAGCGAAACCACTCTCAAAGCGGGCCCCTTGACTTTTTGGGCCAAGAAGCCCAATAGGGCTACAACTACTTAACTGCATTCCACACTTCCCCTTGCAAAGTTGGAGATTTTCTAGAACCTAGTAGTTCTTGTTTTTTTTTTTTTTGTACGAGGTTATATAGAAATGGAACTTGAGAGTTGAGACGTAGTGCTATGAAAACCTGCCTGCTATCGCCTTGACCCAAGCCCGATTTCTACCAAGTACCTCTTTGGAAGCTAGAAATGTTGATATCTAGAAGTTGTGGAATATTTCTTTGATAATATGTCTGAAATTTCTCAAATGTTAAGGTCAAACTTCACATTATTCTAACAAAAACTCACAGAAATCAAGCTTCATGGCTTGCTGAAAGAGGGGGAGAGGAAAGAGAGGCCCTAGGTAGAGAGAAAAGGTACGAATAGAGAGAAGACGTAAAGAAAGCAATTGGTTAGAGAGAAAAATTACAGACAAAAATTGAGTTAACACAGAAAAAAAAAAGACATAATTATAGAGAAAAAGGGCACTGCTAGAGAGAGGAGTTAAGTCAAAAAAAGAAAAAAAGCACGATCAAGATAATGACCATTTAGAAAAAAGTGGGTAACAAGGGAGCCAGTGAAAGGCAATATTGGAGAGGAGTTAGAAGTATCCAAAAAACAAAAAACAAAAACTTGGAGTTAAGTCAAAAAAGAAAAAAAGCATGATCAAGATAATGACCATTTAGAAAAAAGTGGGTAACAAGGGAGCAAGTGAAAAGGATATATTGGAGAGGACTTAGAAGTGTCCAAAAAACAAAAAACAAAAACTTAGGGAGTTTACACTATTAGAGAGGACACAAAGAACTAAAGGAGGTAAAGAGAGAGTAATTAAAAAGATTACACTAATATCCTCCCAAATTAGCATATTACTGAAAAATTCCTCCTAATTTTTTGTTTAACACATTCTCTTTTTTTTCCTTTTTTAATTTCCAAATTACTACTACTTTGGATCTTCAAGATCAACTGGCAAAACCATTTTATGACTTTTGATCTTAAAAATCCGAAGTTAGGCTTCCATATATAAAATTAAGTATAATTTAAAATCATTAATATTCGGAGTCATATTTGACTTCCGATATTCAATATCCAAAGTCACGTCACGTACACAAAATCAAATTTGACAAATATGACTTCAAATCTGAAGCCAGATGTAATTTCGGATCTTGAAGATCCCAATCACATGTGGTTTTGCTTTTTTGTATATAGTTCGGAGTTTAGTTACGGAAGAACCAGATCACATTGACTTTGTATTTAAGAAAATCATAGAAAAAACAAAGTAAAAGCGCAAAACTTCTAAATTAGAGGCAATTTCTTTAATAATGCTGCCTTCGAATGATATCAGCATAAATATCTCAAAAAATTAAAAGCAAAAAAACGCAAGTCGCAAACTCACTTAAGAATATGATTAGCAAATGGAAATTTCTTTAATAGGCCTGCAAGCCTCTCAAAATAAGGAAAGCCCCACCTCAAAACTCATCAAAAATTGTAGTTCTAACATTGGAAAATCTTGAGATCGATCATGTCAACCTTGAGCATTATGGTTGTCAAAAACAGAAAAATCAAGATTTAAAGCTCTAAAAATAATTTACATTGTAGAACATGATATAGACAGTCTATTGCACCCTAAAAATAAGTTTTTAGAGCCAACAACCAAAGTGCTTTCCAAATGAGAACTCGAGATGAAGCTATATTTTGTTTTCATAAAACCTAAACCCTATAGAAGCTACATCATTAGCAAATATCGGTAATGGAGGTGGAAACTAGTTAAATTTTTTTATAGAATTTACCACCTTAGTTAAAACCAAGTAAGAGCTTCCCAAAATCTTCCAAAAAACTGAAACTTTAACTTTGATGGTTGCTTACAAATAGATCATTTATCTTTCATATATAAAAATCACAATTATTCTTGTCACTTAAATTTTAAAATGGGTGGTTGTAAAAATGTTATTAAATAGACACAAAGTTTCAAAAAAAAAAAAATTCTTGTACTTCACTACTCACCCCAAACAATCCAAGTTGACATCTAATGAATATGAATAATTGAAACCTCCATATACAAAAGATATGATCTGTTTGTAAACAATCAGTTAAAACTTGTGGATATAAAATTCGGAATAAACTTCCAAAGAATTGGAACTTTAAATTTCTAGGTATGGAATTTGTAGTTATCAACTTGCCCTTTGTTTCTGTTGGGCGTTGACTGTTGTGGCTCTGATTCATAAGAACAGGCCCTAGGGGTCCTACCTTTGATGCCCCAAACACGGCCCCTCCAACAAATTGGAGGGCCAAAGGAGCCCTTATTGGTCTGAAGACCCTGTTCAGAGTGCTTGTTCAGAGTGCTGGACCAATAAGGCTGAGAAGGAACCCAAAAAAACAAAAAAGGCATAAAATATAATGAGAGAAGAGAAACTACTTGCATGAGTAATAGAGAAGTGGTAAATTACGAACCCCACAAATAATTTTAGGGCTTTCACATCGTTAGATTTCAAGGAGATAGGAGAGTACAGAAACACCAGACAAAAATCAAATGCTTCCACTCCTCTACATCCAAGAATAAATGAAAGAGAAAGAAACCCAACAAGAAGTCCTTCGGGTTCGAATTGGCAAAAGGATCTTGCCCTTTCCAACAAACCAACAATGGCTTCTCAATCCTTTTCCCCATATTTACACTTTTAGGGTAAGCCCTAAAAAATGGAGCAATATTAATACAAGAGGGCCATAAAAGAAACATGGTACTTCAAAACCCCATGGCTTCTCATTGAGGTCTTCTCTATCTAAACACGTCTCCTCTCTCTAAATTAGTGAACAAACACCCTATGCTACCAAACTCCAGATCTTTTCCCCCGGTCGCTATGGCGCCCTTTTGAGGCTGAAGAACACTTCGTAACCTCGCCTTCACTACCCACCATGTCCATGAACATTCTCTGCAACTCCTCAAAGCTCTCATTCTTCTGCATAATGAAGATGCATAACCAATCAAAAAACAATGAATCTTTCAACAGTTTGACAGTTTACCATTTTTCAACGATTATCAGAATACACATAATCTTTCAACAGTTTAACAGTTTACCATTTTTCAACAATTCCAATTAGTATATTTTGATGGGTATTGTTAACAGTTTACCATTTTTCAACAATTTCAATTCTTATAATTTGATGGGTATTTTGAAAATAAAACAAAAGATATTTTATGGCAGATGTCAAATAGTGAACATCTTTATGTATTTTGATAAATTTCTCAAATTTTATTTAGGAAAATTATTTCATGGGGGGTGGATCACATTTCTACAATATCCGGTCCAAAGGCATAAAGCATCCATCTTAAAGATGGATGCAAATAGGTTCAAATGTTTTCTTGATATAATTACTATTTCTAGTTTTCAAATTTTATTTATATTCATAATCTCCACGTTAAAAATCAAATTATATTTAAAAAATATGTTTATTGCCAAGCCCGCTGGCCACATAGAAACCGTTTCTTTTTATTTATAGCTGAAAACATTTCACAAAAATCCAGAAAAGAGATAACATATAAATATGGCACTTTACAAGAAAAACTATAGATCATAAGGAAAACAAAAAAATTATATTATCAACAAAAATAATTTTTATGATTTTTCTGTAAATTATTTTATTTGGAAAATAGTTTGAAAGGGCTGCGGTCCTTTCAAAATAAGTAAAACTCTCCTTATAACTCATCAAAAATTACGATTCAACATTGGAAAACCTTGACATAGATCATCTCAGCTTGATGATCAATTTTATGGTTGTGAAAAAAAATTGAGGATTTCAAGCTCTAAAAGTATTGTACATTGTAACAAATTATCTATACTGTCTATTTTGCCTTAAAAATAAGTGTCCATAGATCCGTAAGATCTGTTGTATCATTTTTTTAGTTTCAAAATTTATTGTTAGTGTTGAAAATTGATTTTAGAGGAGATTTCTAATGCCAAAAGTGCTTTTAGGATGAAGATTTGAGGTGAGGCTTTATTCCGTTTTCATAAAGCCTAGGCCTTATAGAATCTTCATCTTTTTTATTTTTACCCCAGTCGGCAACAGGATAAGGTGGAAAAACTCGGCCGAGTACGTGTTGACTCGGCCTGGCAATCCGAGGCCAATTATATCTTGAAAATGAATTGCTGGATTCTGATCCCGAAATAACGGTGAAATTTCAAAAACAAATTCCGCCTTGGTTTAGCGTGATAATGCAGACATTTTGGTCAAAGTTTAGGGCGCCGGAAGAGACGTCTATCCGGTGGCTAACAATGTAAAAGTTCCGTCGACGACCGAGTACAACATCCCAAACGAAATTTCAGGCAACTATTCCTTTCGGGAAAACTTGCAACGAAATCTTCCGAAAATTGCAAGATATTCCGTTACAGAGCACTATCACGAAATCTACTGTGAATTTCAGAGAGAGAAGAAAAAGAGAGATTTCGTGACCATAGTATAGATACTGTGAATTAAAGGAAAGATGGGGACTGTATAGGTACGATCTCTTACCTGGGAGGTCACACCGTCCATCATGGACATCAATTCTTGCATAAAATCCGAAAATCCCTGTCCATAAAACACCCCGTTAATATAAGCCAAAAATCAATAAATAAATTACTCGATTATCAATAAATTTTGAAATTTTGCGGCCACATTTGTGCTGATACATGAGAAAAACACTGAAAAGTAAAAACTAAATAAATAAATGTGACCAGAAACAATAAAAGAACACAAACCAATTTTAAAAAATGGATGTTTTTAATCTTGGCCGGATCTTGATCGAAATTTCAGAGATGTCACATTAATTTTCTTTTGAACCATTAACGGTGAGTTTCAGACAAATGATCCAAATTTTTAAATCAAACAAAGAAACAAATAATTCATAAAAATGACTGATCTGTTTAATGCATCTATGCCCTTGATACCTCGTCTTCTTCTTCTAATGGATCGTATACCCCTACATCATACATCGCCCTCTTCACTTCATCAGACAAAACTGCAGAAAGAGAAAAAACCCATTTTGTCAAAAACAAGAAAAAAAGGCATAAAAAAACTTCAAAACCACCTCCAAGTTTCAAACAAAATCCACTTCCAACCCTGAAAAATCCTCTGTTTAACCCACCTGTGTAGGCCTCCTGGATTTCTTGGAACCTCCTATTCGCCTCTCCGGCATGAGAAGGACTCTTTGCCCACTTATCCGGATGCCATTTCTGAAGGAAAATAAAAATAAAAACGGAAAGCCAAAACGAAACCACAAAATAAAAATCTGTCATTTCACCATAAGATCGCGGTCAGAACCCGCCATCAAAGCTGAAAATTTGAGCCACAAACCGCCACTGAAACCTCAAAAGACTCCGGAAAACTCACCATTGCCAGTTTCCGGTACGCGCCGCGGATCTCTGCAACGGAGGCGCCCTTTGGGATTCCGAGCACTCTGTAATAGCAGTTCCCGGCGCCTCTTCCCGGGTCCATGGCTTGAAACCCGTTCAATTTCAGGCGGTTTTATGAAGAATGGCAATGACTTTTTAATTAAACAAAGGCGGTTTTAGTTTATTAGGGTTCGATACAAAAATATCTTCTGGCCCTTAGCTCGACCGCGAGAAGGTTCCAGAGTTTTCCGCGGCGATTAGAGAGGCAGATATTTTTCTCGTAAAAGTGGTTTTCCAAAACCGCCGTTGGTTTCGGTCGGTTTAAAATATATCTAGGAGGCCAACTGCCTCTTTCGTGTTGGAGTTGGTCTTCGGAAAAATTTTGGGTTAATAGTTTTTGAAATGGGAATCTCCTGGCTCTAAGATCATTTGATTGAAGTCAAAGACTCTAAATAGCTTATGCTCCCGCCGGATCATTTTCTCGTCTTTGGGGTTAAACTTTTTTTTTTTTAGGCCAACCTAAAAAGAAAAAAAAAATGGAACCCAATTGAAAGCATTAATAATAATTAAATTTATCTAAAATTAATTTATTAAAAAGATTGTATATAATGAGATCACTTACCTATAATACAATGAGAACACAACTTTTAAAGATCATCCTAATGTGAAATCTGATGGCATGTGTCACGTCATTCAAAAAGTTTTTTTTGAAGTTTGAGCTTGATCAATGGAATAAATGTATCTATCTAATTTCATATCTAATGGTCAAGGTTAACTATGACTATCTTGCACCAAAGATAAATAATCTCATTGTATACTTTTTCTTTATAAAAATTAATATAAGATTTTATATTATAAAAGCATCTTTCTTTGAAATAAGGAGGTCACACAAATCCTAGCCACCAAGTGCCAAATCAAAGCACTTAAAGTATGTCAAAGAGTTTGAAGAAATTTTCTATGAACTTTAAGCCTTATTAACTACACACTCTTAGCCTTTCGATTCCAAATCTAACAACGATGAATGATTGTGACCTCTTTATACAAAATATAAAAGAAAAAGTTTATATAAGGTTGCAATCTTAAAATGTAGAATTAAGGTGCACCTCAAAAATCCATTACAATAGTTGTTTTGATGTTGGAGACACTCAAACTAATCATCTCAGATGTATGAATATGAAACAAAAAAAAATATTTCGAGCCCTAAAGATAGTGTATCTTGCAACACATTATCTTGGCCGTCTATTTTCAAAATTTTCAAGTGTTTATAGATCTACTTGATTTTAGCCATTTTTTGAGTTTAAAATTTATAAATAAATATGAAAATATATTCTCAAACTATCCTAAGAATTTTTTACACAAAAATTATGTTTACGATAAAATTTGGAGATGCGCCTTAATTTGATAGTTTAAGGTTGTAACCTGATATAAACCACACCCAAAGATTAATGGTCTTCCTGTATATATTTCTAATTAATGTATTTTAGATAATAATTTTGCAATTCTTTGGCATGTATCTTGTATTATGTGTAATATTTTTTTAGTTATTTAACTTTTTAATTGGATTCCAACTAGTTCTAAGAAAAAATGTGCCATTTTCAGCAAATAAATTACTTTGAATAAAGTAAAATTTATTTTCTAAAAGATAAACTTATATATAAGGGATGGGGTTTCCATGAATCCCTGCCTCATCTGTGCATGTGCAACCCCTTCTAAAGCCCATCTCAAAGACGGATTTTGGATCCAAATTTTTTAAGAAGTTTATATGGAACTGAGGCTCTAAACAATCAAATTAGAACCCACCTCAATTTTTTTATCAGAAGAGATTGTTTTGGTGCCCATATATCCTCAAATTGATCATCTCGACATCAAAATGTATGGACATGAGAAAAAATGGATTTCAAGTTTTAGAAATAGTGCATCTCGGAACACATTTTTAGACAACTAATTTTCAAGATTTTCAATTTTTCATAGATCAGTATAATCTACACTAGTTTTGAAGCTTTTAGATTTTATAATTAAATATGAAAATATATTTTAAGGCTATCACAAAGATTTTCAGTATTGAAACTACATTTCTTGGCAATATTTGAAGGTGGACTCTAATTTGATTGTTTAGAGCCTCAGCTCTATACAAGCTGCACCCAATTTTTAATAGATCCATAATCCATGGTGATGCCAAATACCTTAAAATTACTTTATTTGGTATAAAAAAGTTACAATTATTTATAGTCATTAGATGCCAAGTTAGATGTCTTGAGATGTGTCACAAAGTTTGAAAAAAAAATTTGTAACTTTCAGTCTAGTCTATGACACTCATACAATTACCCAATTTGAAATCTAACGGACAAGAATGACTATGACCTCTTTGTACAAGAAGTAAATTATATCTTTGTATACTTTTGTTTTTTGGAAATACCCCCAAATAGCTGTAAGTGAATATTGTACTTATGTTGTATTATGCTTAGCCGCTTATATAATAAACCTTTTTCATTTATGTAAGGGATTGTTTATAAAATAATTATTTATCTATTGTACATGGAGGTCACAATCATTTTTATACCATATGTATAGGATATTTTTTGTAGATCATCATCATCATCATAGTTTTTTCCAATTAATTAAGTTCAGTTACACGAATCCTGATCCGTCAATTTGTTTTATTAAAAGTCATACCTTCAGTGAGATCATAAAGCGTCATATATTTTCATACTCATCCTTTTCTAGATATAGTAAAAATATTGTTAAAGTTTACCGCTTTTTTAAAAAAAATCTGAATTCATTCTCGCTCCCATGCTTTGTTTATCTACTTGCCTTTCGGTAGGTACTAAAAAATACATGCATGTACAGCCAGAAATATTACCCAATTTAGCAAGGGAGAACAAATATGGCTAAAGAAAATATGGCGTGATGCCAAAAGATTACGTGATCTCGCAAATGCATATGTAAAACCCTATTTTAGAGTATTTTTAGGATCTTAGTTTTTGTAGGGGTGGCAATGGCCCAGGACCCGACCCGAGACCCATAGAGTAGACCCACCATAGGTCCGTGTATAGGTCCAGTATTTGGACCTGGCAGGTAGGGTCCGGGTCCATCTCTAAGACACGAAATAGACACCGGTCAGGTACGGGTTCCAGTGGACCCAACCCAGATTTATTTTATAAATATATATATTAATTTTATACTTCCCTTCACTCTCTCTCTTCCAAACCTTATGTCTCTTCCCATGTAAAAACCCCATTTCTATTTTCTCTCTCTTCCCGTGCGAAAGCCCAACTCTCGATTTTTTTTCTCTCTTCTCTGCCCCTGACTACGAAAGCCCATCTCTCCTCTCTATCTTTATTTCTCTCCCGCTGCCAACTCCTATTTCCCTTCCAAGTTGGATCTTTGGCTTTAGAATTTCGCATTGATCACAAATTTCCATAATTTTTGGTGGGTTTTTTGGGTCCTAGCATTTGGTTTGAATTTCCGCAAGATCAATGGAAGATCAGAAAAATGGTAAGTTTTTATTTAATTTTCGTGCTTTTCTTTTTTGTATCTTGATGCTTATCTGAATTCTTGGGTATTTGTAAAGATGATTTAGAAGTTTTAAGAATTTGAGTCATGTTTTTGAAACACAAAGTGTTTTGGGTGCTATATTTCTAGATTTTAATGTGGTTTTTTTAAGAATTTTCTCTCAACGAAAGAAGCTTCCTAAAACATTAAGGAAAGTCGGGGGATTTTTTTGCAAAATTATGCATCAAAAGGGAATCTACGCATTGAATGTCAGGTACGGGTCTTAGGTCCTAATCCATATCTCGGGTACAAGTACAGGTACAGGTCTGGCGCTCTTTGGACCTATTGAGTGGTAATTCAAATCTAGGTCCAGTACCCAACCCGTTGCTACCCCTAAGTTTTTGGGATGTAACCTCTTTAATATAGGGAGCAACTTTAAAAAAGAAAACATTGTATAATACTAAAAAGGATACGGTGTCTATGTGGCCAACCCGGCATATGTAGAAATACGAGCGTATTAATAAATCTATTTTTGAGATGGACTTTTGGACTTAATTTTTAAAGATATATACGGAAAATTACAAAAAAAAAAAACCCTATGACGACTCTTTTTATACAACTTACCCCCAACTTAATTTTTTCTCTCACTTTTTTTCTCAAAACAAACTTTCTATGCAAATACCCCCAAGGAAAAAAGTTCATTTTTTTAGATGGAAATGCCCTTCTTGTATACAAAAATCATTTTGGCCGGATTTAACATTGACTTTTGGACTCCAGTAGCACATAGCCGGAGCATACAAGTGCTGGACCGCACTAAGATAATTACTGGACCGAAACTGAGTATTGTCGGACCGCCCTTTACATAGTGCCGGAACCTTGGAATCCAGTAACATCTACTGCCAGACTGCCCTTTGCAATTGCCAGATCGCCATTTACCATTACCGAACCGCACTTTACACAGTGTTAAAGCCCTATTGTCGGACCGTACTTAACACAGTGCTAGTACCCTACTGTCGAGCTACACTTACACAGTGCTAGAGTCCCTATTTTGGTAGGATAGAGGAGAGAGAGGCGTGGATAAGGTAAAAAGTAAATGAGGGTAGTTTAGGCATTTTTTATTTATTTTTGGTTGGGGTTATTTACATAGAAAGTGTATTATGGTGAAAAAGTGAGAGAAAAAATTAGGTTGGGGTGAAATGCATAGAAAGTGTACTCTTGGGGTTTTTTTTGTAATTTTTCCGACATATAATCTCTAACATAGAGATCAAAAATATGTAAAAGTAAGTACATTTTTAAAACTAGAAATAATATTTTTAATAAGAAAACATTTGGACCGTTAGTTTTCATTGTTTTTAGATGGAACACCTACTTGCATCCACTGTTAAGACAGATGCTTTACAACTTTTGGACTACGTATGTAGTCATGCGGTCCAGCCTGCATGAAACAATTTTCCTAGTGGAAATAATATCCTAAATTGAATAAAGACTATCTAATTTTTAAAGGAAACCTTTTTTATGATTTAAGATGGACTGGTATGCGGGATGTCCTGGGGGATGCTACGTATAAACTGCTTTACCATTTTTTAATGCTTTGCCATTTTTTAACAGTCTCACTGAGTGTTTAGGAATGCCATCCTTCTCTCTTTGTTGTAAAATAAAACAATATGCTCGGGAAAAAGTTGATATAAAGTTGCAATATTAAAATGTAGAATTACAAATGCACCTCAAAAATCCATCGGAAAAGGCTGCTTTAATGTTGAAAAACCTTATAATT